TGAGGTGATCATTGTTTTATACTTCTGTTCTCTAGAATATATAACAGTTCTTTTTCATATTTAGGTACTTAAATGCATTCATTGCATTGAAAGCAAATACAAATTAACTTCCCTATTTCACCTGTCAAGTTATAAAATATTTTTTTAAAAAACAAGAGTTTGCACCTGAAAGAAAAATTGTTAGTGCATAATAGTATTAATATTTTAAGCTTTCTCTTTCAGTGAGGTCCCTTAGGACATATGATACCCCTTGTGTTTAACCTCTAAATACTATAGTTTAGGGATGGTATCCTAAGAATCTTTATAGATTTACAGTTAGGTTTTAAGTGGCATTCTAAGCAGGACAATAGACTCTAACACACTAATTTGATGTCTAAAATAGTGGAATGACTTATTGAACGCCAGTGAACACCAGTACTCCAGGATATCTTGCCATGCATCCATCAATCCATGCATGCATACAGATATATTTCTATAAATTACTTTGTTCTCAATTTGTCATAACTTAATCGAAATCAGTTCTCTTTTTCTCCTAGAATTAACATGCTGTTTACTGTAAGATTCAATGACATTATATTACTTTCCTTCCCAGCTTCTATCATTTGAACAAGATAGTAAAAACATTCTCTGAGTGTTCTATCTCTTAATTGTCAGGCAGTTACCCGAAAGAGACCTTATTGTAGTTGAATCAGAATCCCCTCCCTCAATTTAATTTTCTTTTGACTAGATAGATGGTGGATAGTCTTATTACGTGTTTTTGTAAAATAGATAATATATTGGGCAGTAAATATTTTAAAACACTTCTGAAAAAAGTTCAATGACTATGATCGATTTGATAAATTTTCAACAGTCTTGGGACATATATACAATAAAAATGATTAAATCTAAGAACAAATGTTTTCAAGCTTTTAAAAGCTTGAAATGTATATTTAATAATACAAACTTGCTTGTACATGAACCTTGCGAGAGAATCACTAACAGTGGTTTTATATTCATCAAGGGGTAAAAAAAGCAAGGAGTTTTCACAAGTGCCCGGCTAGCTCAGTCGGTAGAGCATGGGACTCTTAATCCCAGGGTCGTGGGTTCGAGCCCCACGTTGGGCGCAGGTTATTTTGTAGGAAAACTTGTTTTCGCTAAACTTAATCGGATTTCTCCAACGCATTGTTAAGTAAGGCCCTCCACGCTGAACTCATTTAAATACTTTTTCAATGTTAACCGGATTTCGAAAAAGCGTGGTAATAGGCAAAACAGATGTCAAACTGCGCTTGCGCAATGAAAGCTCAGCTTTCCCTCTCCTTCATCTCTCCCCAACCTTTTCCCCTTAAAGCACAATGGGAAGTGATAAGTCAGTTTAAGATGGGGTCTGATTTTCTGATACTACGTACACTTGCATGTTGCTGGTAAAGGGCAAATTTTGCTTTATCATAACAAAATTATGAGCTCCAATTATGGCGGCTCTTCTAAAACTTAAATCCGATGTAAAAGCAGCTGGAGACTTAAGAGCGCTTCGAATACTTGCCTGTCTTCCTTTGTGGTTTACTTTTTCGTCACTTCATAATAGTGTTGTGGAGAGGATGAAGGGACGATTCACACAATGAAAAAGGTTTCTGTAGTCATACAACCAGTACATCATTGTTCATGGAATTGTATTTGCAGTCTATTCCATTCAATTGGATGCATATTAAGAAGTGAATTATTCTGGCAACAATGAAACTCTTACAGATATGAATTGAGATATGAAAAAATTGGCTGTGCAATTAGACACTTGCATGCATGAAGTAGGATTTCTGCCTTTCCCGCTCTACACCAAGAACTTAAGTGTCATCACAAAGGAATGTACACAAGCAGGCTTTCAGACCGTCTCATCCTGGCACGTTCCATATCTCACTGCACCAGTGAAGCAATCCTACCTAAAGACCCTATACTCTCTGCGTTATCCAACTCTCCTTCTAACCGACCATACATTTCTCACTCGACTACTCCTATCAATATGCAAAAATGTTATTTAACTATCTAAAAGCAAAAACTTTGACTTCGTTTGCCTGCAGACTAACATTCTACTTTTCCCGGTGGAGCAAGTCACTCTCCAGTTGCTTAAGCTTACCATCCCCCTTGTCCCACTTTTAACCCTTGAGTCAAAGACCAAAGCACAGTAGCTGCACCAACTTTGGTGTATTACTCACGGAATCCTGAATTTGTGGGTGTCTCAGTAAGAGGGTGTTAAAGAACTGCTTTTAAGATTTGGGCCTTAGTTGGGTAACTTGGGGAAGACTCTAAAGAAGTGAAGGCTTCTGGAGTATTTTCTGAAAGCAAGAGCAATTATACTTGATAAAGGATGCATAAAGCTGTGGTAAAGCAGCATTTGCTTAACAAGTTGGACAGTGACTAGCTTGTTTCTGTGGATGTTTGTGAGATGTTAATAAAAGCTCAGGTCACTGGTGCTTCCAACCAACTGCCTACAAATTGGGGAGTCCCACAGCCATTACTTCACATTTGACATTTTCTCCAAGCAGTTCACAGAACTGAGGAAAAACAGGTTATTTTATTCCCAGTTTATTATAAGGACTACAACACAGAAATGCTCTCAGGAAGAGATGCATGAGGCAGGATGTGGCTTACAGAGCTTCCATGCCCTCTCCTGGTCACCACCCTACCAGCACCTTGATCTGTACACCAAGCAGGAAGCTGTCTCAACAACTTAGTTTAAGGACTTTTATGGAGGGTTCATCAGTAGTGTTGATTAACTCAAATTTCAGCTCCTCTCCCTGGAGGAAGGAGGGTGGAGCTGAAAGTTCTAAGCTTCTAATCATGGCTTGGTTTTCCTGGTGACCAGTCTTTCCTCAAAGCGATTCAGGAGCCCACAGAGTTGACTCATTTAAAACAAAAGCTACACCAAGTGCACAGGACATTACAAGGGCTTTAGGAACTCTGTAAGATGCTCCTAATACTCTGTCACTTAGGAAATGACAAAGGCCTTTGGAGTTATCACAAACCAGTGGCAAAAGTCCAATATACATTTCTCATCATGTCACACTTGTCTAATGTATCTTTGTTAACATATCAGAGTAATGAGCTCAACCCAACACTTCTGTCAATTATCCACCATCCATCATACCCTACACTATTTTTTTCTATAAAGTATCTTTTAGTTCATCACCTGTCTCTCCACCTTCCCCCATCCCCTTGGGTCATATGCTAAGGTATCCTCTGGTTTTTCTTCAGATCATATAAATCTTTCGCCTTTTACAAAGGAAGGATTGTCTTTGTTCACAATTTATCAGGCACCTAAATTGGATCTAATGGATGTCGATTAAGTGTTGGACTAGTGAATTAAGGAGGTTGTAGAAATTTCTTGGACTGCCACAAAATGTTCTGTCTCTTTCTCATAGTTTACTGTCTACAGTAATCCTTGGTGTTCCTTGGTATATAGCTATTAAGCACAATCTTCTGTTGTGCTTTTACCCTATGTGTCTATCTCTCTGTTTATAAGGACACTAGCTATGTCAGATTAGGGCCCATCCTAATTTGATTACATCTCCAAGGATTTCATTTCTAAATAAGGTCATATTCACAGGTACTGGGGGGGTTAGAACTTCAACATGTTTCTGGGCCATCTAATTTAACATAATATAGAGGGCTCCATTATTTAGCTTAGACTCTGGGTGTCTAATATTATGAGTATAAGCTCTATTATAATTAGAGAGATTACTTTCCATACTATTCAAATAAAAACTCATAAGTAATCCAAATTTAAAAAATTTACTGAAAAAGAATGTTATTAAAATAATGAGTCCAGTTAATAGTACACCTATTATGGCCAATTCTGCTGGGAATTTTCAAAGTTAAGAAATAAAAGGTCTTTGCTTTTGTGAAGTTTAAATCCAGAAAGGAATATAAAAACTATATAGAAACAATTATAAAACTTGTGCTTCAGTTGTAGATAAAGTACTTGTAGGAAAGATCACTATTGTGGGGTAAAGGGTGCTGTGGAAAAGTGGTATGCCCAGAGGAGTCTGACTTTTAGGAATGAACGTATTAGGAAACTGGCTGGCAAAATTGAACTTTCTTAGTTTTATTCACCGATTTAATATGATTTTCAATTCTTCATGATTGAATCCTAAATTTAATATGCAATAATGCCTTTTATCTCAATGTCAAAAGCTTTCAGATATTATGTGGAGAATTCAGTTTACATAGTCTGAAATAAACCTACAATTATTAAAATTCTTATCATCGTTTAGAACAAGGTCAAGAGCCTCCTCTGAAATGTTCTTCTTAACAATTTGGTCCAAATTAACTATAGTAATGAAATCCAGATTCTGTTTTATTTCCTTACTTGTATACACATCCTTGTTTACTAGTCTGTAAAACCCTTTACAAGGGTAAAGGAGGTTGTATCTCACTGTTGTAGCATTCAGATCTAAAACTATACTAAGTATGTAAGAGATACTCAAAAAATATTGAATGAATTTTGTCTTGGGCTACCAAAGTAACAGTACATATTAATAAAGTAAAGGCAGAATTATTAAAAAAAAAAAGACATACAAATATAAAAATGAATATACTATCCTATTCTAAAGGCCAGGAATCAGCTCTTTCAAGAGTTAGTATTATCATACACCTAGAGTATGTAGCAAAACTAGAGAGGATGTAGAAAAGGAAACTCAAAATGATTACTCTAGGAGTAAGAGCAGACTTGGGGGTATTTATTCTCAAAATGTGTATTAATTGCTACTCAGTGTTAGAGAATATAAACTCAAGTATGTATACATTTTATCTTTACCAATACCTAAAAAGAATGAAATCAGCAAAACCTTAGTAAGAGGCAGTTCATTAAAAACAAATACAAAAATTAAACAATGAATATTTCATCACTGTCCTGAGGATAAATGCACAAAAGATTAAAGACATTATGAATGATGTTTATAAAGGCGTTGCATAAAAGTGCATAAAAAGAAATATTTTTTCATTAAAAAAACTAAAGTTAGAGTGATTATTTCCACACTTAGCTTAACAAAAGTTTAATAAACATTCTCAGTCTAGAGAGTTAAATATATTTATGGAAAAGCAGTATTATAACAGGCAGAAAAATACCAAGACAAAAAAACAGATCCACGATAACACTGGAAGTAATTGATAATGGTAACATTACTTATGCTTTAAATGAAGTAATTACTGAAAATAATGAATGAGCTCTATAAAGTCCAGGAACAATCATGTGATAAAACTTTTCTTTTTGAAACATGAACTATGTATTAAATTGTTTTACTGTGTTTTACTGATATAAGTACAACAAATTTCATAAGGATCAGCTACCATTCATTAACACACAAGAAAAACAAGTCAAAAGAACTAAGTTAATATAGAGTAATTACAGAAATGCTTTCACTTCCACTAATGTCATCTATAACAGTATCTGATATACTTTATATAATTTGCTAATTGATTAAATATTTGAAAAGAAGTAAAGCTTAATTTTATTTTTTATTTATTTCCCCTTCCACAAAGTTTAATTTAAATCAAACTTTTATTTCTCAGTGGAAAATGCTCTCTTCATCAGAGGTGGCTGAGTCTTCCCAACATCAAACATCATTTCCAAAGGTGGGTTGTTAAGTGAACACCAATCAGGTATGCGGCCCGTCTGATTATAATATTCTTTTGAGATTGAACGACTCCCAAGTATGTCTTGCAATGCTCCAAAAATGGCCCCTGTATAAAAAATATTTTTATAGCTAAGATGAAGTTTTTCCAGAAAACTTTATCTATGCATCTACTTCATTACATGGCAGGAGTGAACTGGTGAAATTCAGCAATGCATATTCATACTCTACAAATTAATTCTAACTGAGTTTCTCTCTCTCTCTCTCTCTCGTGTATATTTTGAAAAAAGGTTAAGTTGTAATTTCAGTGTTGAAAATAATTTAAATGGCTTATAACAGATTATGGTAAAAATGATAAGTATTACAACATAAAAACAGGCGGGGTGAGGTACAATATTCTGAACTTTGAAATATAATCAGTATTACTCTTAATTTTCTTTGTCACAACTCTCAGATTAAATATCAATAAATAAAATAACACTGCAGAACCCAATAAGCATCATTACAATGTCCTAAGAGTCTATGCTGAAGAACTTGTGAATACCCCAAGTCAGTGTTTCAAAAATAATTTACTAACTAAACACATTTATCCTCGCTCAAAATAACATTTTGACTAAGCACTACTTTACAAGAAATATAAAGCCCACTTAAAATCTCAATAGTTTTTCTCTCCACATGATCCTGATAACTCTTAGGTGTATAAAACAGTTAATAGAAAGTATACAGATAAACACATTCATGATTGATTTCTCTCTTCCAAGTAGTTCCTTATTAAGCTATTTGCTTATTTTAGTGAAACGGTGATTAAAACATTCCATGAACTCAAATAAATTGTAACTGTGTGAAGAGATCAGCCTTCTTACATGATTCACAAGTTAAGCTTTGGAGGCTTGTTTGAATTGATTTCAAACAACTGTTCATCACAATGATAGCAACACTGGAGTAAATACATAGCTACTGCTATTATGAGGAAGGACTTTAATTGGATGAGAAAGTTTACTTAAAAAAATTAAAATGAGGCCCTGCCTGGTGGCGCAGCAGGTTAAAGCACAGCACAAAAAAAGAGAAACACATGTCTTTTGCAGCAACTTGCATGGAGCTGGAAAAGATCATGCTTAGTGAAATAAGCCATAAAGAGAAAGAAAAATACTGGATGGTTTCACTCATAGCAGGAGTATAATGGACCAGGCGAGAAAATAACAAAAATAATGAATAAACATATACCAGAGACATTTTGCGGGGGTGGAGTGGGGAATGGGATCAAAAAAAGGGTGGGGTGGGGAGGGAAGTGCACGGGATTGGGTGATTTGGTGATGGGAAACCCACGGGGATTACAATTGAGATGGAAAAAAAAATGTACAAAATGATGTAAAAATAAACTTTTGTAAAATTAAAAAAAAAAAAAAAAAAAAAAAAGCACAGCACAAAGAAGCTTAAGCCACTTCAGCATGAGTTCGATCCCTGCCTGCCCCAGAGATCCACATGGCGAGGCAGACCTCTCCTGACCCACCCGCTGCTCCCCTCAGCAGTGTACTTTGTCGATCTGCCTGTTCTGTACCCCACTCTGTCTCTGGTGAATCCTCTCACTCTCCGCATCTCTGGCCTGTACCCCAGTTCTGTACGAATAAATAAATAAATCTTTAAAAAAAAAAAAAGAAAATGAAATGTCAAGAGAAAATAGGCAAAGGTTTGTAAATTAACAATTTAAGGAGAAATTAACAATTTAAGGAGAAATAATATTTAAAGAAAATTAATAATTCCAGTTTAAGGGGTCACATAATTTTAAGAATCTACAAGTAATATCTTTTTTTTTTTTTAAAGATTTATTTATTTATTCATATAGAACTGGGGTACAGGCCAGAGATGCGGAGGGTGAGAGGATTCACCAGAGACAGAGTGGGGAGCAGAACAGGCAGATCGACGAGGTACACTGCTGAGGGGAGCAGCGGGCGGGTCAGGAGAGGTCTGCCTCGCCATGTGGACTCCTCAGGGGCAGGCGGGAATCGAACTCATGAGGAAGTGGCTTAAGCTTCGTAGTGCAGTGCTTTAACCCGCTGCGCCACCAGGGAGGGCCCTCTACAAGTAATATCTTTAAGGAATGAATTAAATATGATTTACTTATATTAATACTAAATTCTTACCTCCCAACCAGGCCACACAGTTAGCTTTTGCAGGCGGAGTATGAATGCGGAATGTCTTGGTTCCAAGTGTTTTTTTATATTTTGGTTTTTCTACTAAATATCTTATTTCTGCAAGCAGTCTGTGTAGAAATCCAGGCAACATTGATGTGCCACCTATGACTACCAAATTCTCTGATAGTTGCTTCCTTGTGTCTATTGGGCACTGGTATGAAAAGAGAAAAAAACAAAACAAAACAAAAAAACAAACTTATCCTTAAGTGTATAAATAATGAGCAACTGGATTTAAAGAAATATAGTTTATGCATTACAAGTTAAATACGATCATTTGTATTACTAAAAGAACCATAAGAAAGTTCTTTTAATAAGGAAATTTTCCATATAGTAAATATAAACCATAATGACAATATTGCCATATACTTTATAGTACTTTATATAGTAAAGTCTTTTAAAATTTTATAATTTTAAATTCCACAGGGCATTTAGTACTAATATGTGAGTATTATTATGTGGTAGAATGAGTTGAGTAAAAAAACATGAGGATAAATAACTTTTGTATTTCAAGAAAGGAAGATATGTGAAAGCTTCATTTTTTAAAGGTGCTATATTTGAACAGGAAGGCACACTTCAGAGCTACTGGTTCAATAGGAAGATAAATTTTAAGAAAAATTATGTTGCTACATTAGTTCTAAGAATTAGGAATGTTTAAGTCCACTGAAATTCTGTTTTTTATAGAAGTTCCTGGAGCCCTAGAGATAAGATAAATAAAACCTTCCAAAGCGATAGTATTTCATCTGGAATTCTGTGATCCCATAGTCATTAAACTAAAGGAAACTAATTATCATATACTCTGTGGAGTTTAAAATTCAATACTAGATAAAGCTATATTTCAAAGAACTACATGGCATACTAGGTACAAAATAAAAATCTGATACCATTGCTCTGGAAAAAATACATGGTATATGCATAATATTCATTACTCCTGGGTTTGAAATGTGTAGGTACTATACTATATCTCACCATCGAAGTAATACTCATTCACTGTAAAAGTTACCACAAAAATGATGAAAGTGTAACCAATGGTTAAAATAAAAGTACAGAAAATAAGATTTAAATTTTTTCTTTAAAGGATTATAGTCAAACACTTTTTTTTATAAAATTGAAATACCTGCATAAGAGAATCCAGTATCAAAGTAGCAATTGACTTCTCTTCATTATCTTGTTCAAAAAGAATTTCCACAACTGAATCTCTATGGTTAAAAACAGAATTTTGTATTTGCATTACATGATACAAAACATAGCAAATTCTTTAAACATGTTTAAGTAACATTAACTATGTTAATTCCGAATGATTATTAAAACACAAAGTGTTCTCATTTGTAATAAGAATGTAACCTATAAGGAGAGTAACAGGATCTGCCTCACAGATCTAAACTTTTGTAGTAACTTTTTTTTTTTTAAAAGATGTATTTATTTATTCGTACAGAACTGGGGTACAGGTCAGAGATGAGGAGGGTGAGAGGATTCACCAGAGACAGAGTGGGGAGCAGAACAGGCAGACTGACAAAGTACACTGCTGAGGGGAGCAGCGGGCGGGTCAAGAGAGGTCTGCTGCGCCATGTGGTCACCTCCGGGGCAGGCGGGAATTGAACTCATGCAGAAGTGGCTCAAGCTTCTCAGTGCTGTGCTTTAACCCACTGCACCACCAGGGAGGGCCCAGCAGTACCTTTAAGATTTAATTTATATATGTGTACAAGAATTGGTATATAGGCCAGAGGTGGGGGGAAAACGGGGGTGAATGAGGGTTAACTGGAGAGAGTAAGAAATAGAACAGGCAGATGTACTGATATATACTGCTGAGGGGAGCAGCAAGCAAGATAGGAGAGGTCTGGTGCATCATGAGGGTTAGCTCTCTAGCCTGAGATCAAACTTATGCCCAACAGCTGGCATAGCTTGACAGTGCTGAGACTTTAACCCCCCCTGTGCCACCAAGAGGCCCTTGCAGAAACTTACATAATACAAAAATAAAAATATTGTTACCAAATAATTATGTAAATCCTGAACAATTTCTACTGCATCATTAATCTAATGAATAATAAAAGGTAAATAAAAGGTAAATTATTAACTTATCTTAAAGATGGCTAGTTTTAGAAGAATGCACTATTTATCAAAAATAAGGTTTTTAAGTATAAATTAGAAAACTGTGGCTCTTATCCAAATTTAGCCCACTGTTTTTACAAATAAAATTTAATTGGAACATAGGTTCATTCATCTACATATTATCTATGACTGATTTTGCACCACAACTTTAGAGTTGAACAGCTGAAACAGAAACCATAAGGGTCAAGAGGTCCAAGCTCTTTACTATTTGATCTTTTACAGAAAACATTTTGCTGAACCCTATTTTTAATATCTTATTCCATACTCCATATAAAAGAATGGTTAGTTCCATTAATTAAGTTATGAATTATTTTGGTGAACAGCAAAGAATTTCTAAAGTTGAATGATAAAATTAATCATGAATGATGAAGCTTAATAAAAAACAAAAAATTGTCAACTCAACAACACTACAAGCTTAATACAAATATTTTTAACAGTAAAAAGAGTATTAATTGTTTAGCTCATAAAAACGCCTAACCTAATTGATCCAAGGACATGTAAAATTTTCTCTCCATCTAATGGGTAGTCAACATCTGGGGGTGGCGAAGGACGCTGAAAAAGAAAAGCGTGTTAAGTAAATGCCTTATAATTATTTTTTTAAGTTTCTTTTTTTTAATTTTTAATTTTTTAATTTTTAAGAAGTACTTATTTTTTTTTTTAAAAGATTTATTTATTTGTGCATACAGAACTGGGGTACAGGCCAGAGGCTCAGAGGCGGCGAGAGGCTTCACCAGAGACAGAGTGGGGAACAGAACAGGCAGATCGACAAAGTACACTGCTGAGGGGAGCAGCGGGCGGGTCAGGAGAGGTCTGCCGCACCATGTGGTCACCTCCGGGGCAGGCGGGAATCGAACTCATGCGAAAGTGGCTTTAGATTCTCAGTGCAGTGCTTTAACCCGCTGCGCCACCAGGGAGGGCCAAGAAGTACTTATTTATGCATATAGAACTGGGGTACAGGCCAGAGGAGCAGGGGTGGTAAGAGGACCCACCAGAGGCAGAGCAGGGAGCAGAACAGGCAGATCAATGACGTACATTGCTGAGGGGAGCAGTGCGTGGGTGAGGAGAGGTCTGCTGCGCCATGTGGGCCACCTCCCTGGCCAGGGATCCAACTCGCAGTGAAGCAGCTGCTGTGAGCTTCATGGTGCTACACTCCAACCCATTGCGCCACAAGGAAGGGCACAAACTTTATTTATTTATGCATACAAGAGCTGGAGTGTAGTCGAGAGGTGCAGAGGGGTCTTTACCAAAGACAGAGTGGGGAGTAGAACAGCATACGTACTGAAACATACTGCTGAGGGGAGCAGAGGGTGAGACAGGAGTTTGCTATGTCATGTGGGTCACCTTTCTGGCCGGGGATCAAATTCATGCTGCAGTAGCTGTGGATAGCTTCATAGTGGTGAAACATAGCCCCCTGCACCACCAAGGAGGCCCAGCTTAATAATTTTGAATAAAGAATATGACTATTTTTAACTTACCTCAGTATTCCCATCAATATTAAATTTTGCTGCCTGGATGTTCAGTCCACGTTTCAGATCACTTACAAAGCAAGTGCGCACTTAACAGAAAGAAAAGGAGACTCTTGTCATGGTTTAGGAAAGAATCAATTTATGTCCCAGTAAAATAATTTAGGTGGCATGCTAAATACATATTTCCTCAGATTACATAAACTATTCCAGTCTTTAAGTAGTTTATGTTGATTTACTCCCAAGAGAAAAACCTTTGTATTCAGAGAACTTATAAGACATACTGCATTCTTTTCCATAAAATCACTTTATTTAAAAAGACCACCTATTATGAAAATGGATCCATTTTAATTGAATAGCATGTTTCTTTGCACCACACTGATTTGTATTTCCGTATCTCTCTTATATGTGATTCCTTTTAAGAACCTCGGTTGGTCAGAACACAAGCTTAATACAACCTTGGTTGGTCAGAACACAAGCTTTTAGTTATAGCTTTTAGTTATAGTAGCACTATTATTTAATTTGTGATTATTGTCCCCATTGGCACACAACATTAATAATTTCCTTTTACTCTTCTTTTTTTTTGGATTGTAAGATTTATTCTCTTCATAATTGTTTCTATTACAAAGTTCTTCCTATATTTAGGCTTTTCAAATTATTTTCAGGAATAGGTAAGCAATAAAAAGTATCTTTAGGGACAAAACTGATTTGGCTAATTGCTTGCAAACATGCTAAATATTTATTATATATTCTTTTTATTATTATATATAATTATTGTATTCTTATTATATATAAGAATTTTTATTATACTTCTTACTCATTAATTCAAAATGTATTTGTAAAGAATCTACAATTTGTTAATAATCTAGATACTAAGATGTTCAAATTGTTCATATATTTTATACTTTATTCAAGGCCTAATAAATATTTAAGCAAGGTAAATACTTGGCCCTGGAGACGTCATGAATCAGGTACCGTTTTATAAAGAAACAAAGTAAATGAATTAAAAGTCTAAGAACAGATTAAGAATTTATAAATAAAAAACGTAGCTAATTACCTATGTAACTAATGAGTTTTTGAGAGCTGCATATTTCTACTTAACCTGGGCAGGTTCTTAATGGATATATGATTTAACAACATGCTTAATATAGTTATCCTTCTAAATCAACACCTCTAGTTCTTTTTTTAAGAGCTATGTGGAATTCCTTTATTATGAAGTTACCAAACTTCATTCAATATTCTCATTTTAGATGATGTTCACTTCCAATATTAGTAAACATGTCCAAAAAGATTGGTTTCAATCTCATTAGTAACATATGCTTATTTTCTCACAATTTCACAACTACTGAGTAACTCAGTTTTTTGCCAATCCAATGTGCATTCTTGATTAATGGGAAAGTAAAATTTTCTTTTTTTTAACTCTAACTTTACCTGTTTACATAACATGGAACAAATCACCTAATATTTTGGGGTCATCAATCAAACTAAATTATCTCTAGGTCCCATTTAACTCTAAAATCTATTACTATCTAATCTCTATTAAATATTCTAGAATATTAATATTTACATGTTATTTTAAGTACTGAAAAACATTTTTTTCTTTTAGTGAATCAAATTCCAGAAAAATGTGAATATTATCACAAAAACACTCTAGCAAAATAGAAGTAATCTATCTTATTCAATTTAACCCTGTACAGTTAAGACCCATTTCTAGAATTTAAGTCTTATAAATGTACTCTTATAAAAATATACAAACTTTAGTTTAAAAAAACCCAGTATAAAACATCAAAATAGTAAATTTTTTAAATAGCCCACAGGTGTTTCTCAGCCCCACACCTCCATCATGTATGAGTAGGGAATAGATTCGAGCAGCTTAGGCTCCTTTCCACTGACTCTCACAAAGTATGCTTCTTTGGAGTAGGTTCGTACTTCAGTTGAACCCAAATCTTAAGAAAATCTTAAGAAAAATTAAAAAAATGTATTCATTCTATCACCTAAATATTAAACATTTTTAGGATACTATGTTATGAATATATATGTAACTATGTAAAAACTTACTAACATGTGTCCTTCACACTAGTACTTAAACATAGGGACAAAAAGGGAACTAAGTTTACCTTTAATGTCCTCTAAGACACCTTCTGGAATTGAACCTGAAATGTAATTTATCTAGAATTATAAAACTTTAATAGTAAAAACAGTCTATTAAATTGCATTTATATTTCTATTTCCCATTTCAGTAAAATTTTTAAAAATTACTGTACTTTTAAACCTAAATACAGAAATTATATTTAAGGAAGAAACTTAATTCAAAGCGAAGCCAAAGCAGATGTTGAAGCCAGATGTGCACAAAGTTCTATAAGCTGACAAGGACTCATAAGTTTCATAAAAATAAGACCTTAAGGGCCCTCCCTGGTGGCACAGCGGGTTAAAGCACTGCACTGAGAATCTAAAGCCGCTTCCGCATGAGTTCGATTCCCGCCTGCCCC